ATGCTTCTTTTAACTTTTACATAGTTTTTGTGTGTTTTTAATATTAGCAAGCCTTTTGCTATTTTTAGTTTTTAGCTAGCCTTTTCGTTCTTTTAGCTTACGTTTTGATACTTTTACATTTGAGCCAGTGTTTTGGTTTCTTTCAGCCTTTAGGTAGCCTTTTTTTTTTACTTGTAGCTTTTACCTAGTCTTTTAGTGCTTTAAATATTAGCAACCCTTTTGTTACTTTTAGCTAACCTTTTGATATTTTAGCCAGACTTTTACTACTTTTAGCTTGTGCCTCACTTTCCGTAGCTTTTAGCTACTGCTTTGCTCTCTTTTAGCTGTAGGCCAGCCTTCAACTTTGGAACAAAAATAAGATTCAGCTAGTCCATCTGAATAAATCAAGACTCTCTCTTATTTTTTCAGTCAGATTGACGTTTAAGACCGACGCAGGGGTAGAGGCGCACTGGATATGTTTTGTTCTGCCACATCTGGCCCAGCAGGACCAGCGGGTGCCAGATGTAACCAGGAAACAACCCAGCAGATCTTGGATCAGTAGTTCTGGTCAAATTTGCAGTTGAATTAAAAGGTGTTTTTTCATTAGAGATCCCACCTGAATAACTGGGAGTACCAGCAGGACTTCAGGTTGCAGCGCCAGATCTTTTATCAAACCTTCAACTAGTTTTTCGGCTCCTTCACAGCAGGGTGCCGATTTGAACAAGCACCGAAGACAAAAACAATATTTTAATTTAAAGGCACATTGAACATTCTCACCCGATGTGATTGGTGCGGAGGGATATCTCCAAGGCTTTAAGGACCTGGGTGGCATCTTGGATTTTTTTCTTTAACTAAAGAAGAGAAAGGTCGTATCAGGACACGGCTGCTCGAGGATCTGAAACTGAAAGTTGCATCAAACAGAAGAGAAGGTCGAGCTTTCCACTGACCCTACGTGACACCACTCCTTGGTCGTGGTAGAAACTCTTAATCTTGGACAAATAGGTGGCTGGAGGACTCTTCACTTGAAAACGCTCCTGAGTGAAAACAAACATTTACTTTTCACAGCTTTCGTTATTTGATTAGAAACACCAAAATGATGACGAGTCTGTTCCGTTGTATTTGTGCCCTGCTCTCCGTTTCCATGCCAACGCCTCTATCATTCGCCACCACAGATACTCGGCTGCAAGGTTTCTGCACTGCACAAACCACAGACCTTCTTAGCATGTTTATTTGTGTACTTGGTGTCAGCTCTGTCCCCGTGAAGGCACCGGAGCAACAACCACGTTCTGTGTAACGACTTGGTTTGAACTCATGAGACATTATGAACAATAAAATAATGAGATCTCACCTGGTCACAGACGAGTTCCCATTTCTTCTCACTGTCATATTGACTCAGCAGCTTTAGTTTATCTGGAGGCAAGTTCATGGAGCTCTGACAGACAGAAACGACAGATGTTTTAGCAATATGTTTGATAGACAAGACAATTATTTATCTTCAATACCGCTGGATACTCCTTGTTTATGCAACATTATTCAAATTTATAAAACTACAGGGGCGATTGTGGTAAAAGCAGAAAGGTGGTAATAACCTGCTTATAACTCAGTTTTTACACAAGTTGTAATAATGTTACTGGCTGTCAAAGATATCGTGTATCTAAAAAAATACCTGTGATAGTTCCGTGCATTAGCCCAGGCGAAGTGAAGCTGTTTTGACCATTTGACCATTAAATAAACGCATAATAAATGCGACTTATACGCCAGAAAATACGGTAAGTGTTTAAATTGTTTTTTATTTATTTGTCATGATCTCCTCCATAGGGATGCACAATATTGAATTATTGGCTGATATCCGATACCAGTGCCAATATTTTCCCCCTAGACCTCCTTACAGAGTCTACATACAGACTTTCTCTGCTGTGGAAATAAAACTTCATTATTCTGCACGGTCTTTGTCAGTTTGGCTGCTGCCAAATGCAGATGCTAAAAAGGGGCTGAAGGTGATGCAACACTTCCACTTGGATTATGTTTAAAGTCAAATTTATTCCTGACATTTACTCCAACACAACGACAACACTCGAACAGTGCACATTTGTAAATTTTCACAAATCTAAGCTCAACGACGTGCGTGTCGTCCAAACATTGTGCTGGTGCCGCAGGCGTCCTCGTCACTGGTTGTCGTTCAAAAACAGCGCCTTTAATATCGGCGAGTTATTTTGATGGACGGGTATTTAACTTTAACACTAATATCGTCCGATACCGATACCATGCCGATAATATCGTGCATCCTTACTCCTCCAATTTTCCAGATGAGACAAAACAACAGAATCCAAAAATGCAGTGACAAAAACCCATCTGGCTAATGTGAATTAGCTTTGGCGGCCATCTTGAATTGCACTGCGTCCAAAGGTTAATGAGTTCATCCGGTTGTTATTTTGTGAAAGTTTCATTAAAATCCATCCTGTGCTTCATGATTTCAGACGAACAGAGGTGACTCCTAGATTTAATGCGACAGCTTTAAACTAAGGTTGCACAATGAGAAGCATTGTGAATGACTCTCAGCTACTACCACACCAAACTTTAGATAAATATCTCTACAACTGACTGAGTTAAAGTCATTTTTGTGTTTTCTAAGTCTGCAGGCTGTAGTGGCCAGCTTGGATGGGGTTGGCTCTAAAAGTTGATACATCTATTGAATATTTCCTGAAAGTTTCATTCAGTGGTTCATGAGATATTTTGCTAACAGACGGGCACAAGAACACACAGACACAGTGAAGTGTAAACCCCCCACCCTCAGTGTTCAGTCATAAGAAAAGATGTTTTAATTTTCAGAAAGGGCAGTTTCTGTTCGAATGACTGAAATCAACCCACTGGCAAATGTCAAGTTTCTCATAGCAGCACCGTCTTTCCACTGAAAGTACAAAAACAAGGAAATATGAATTAAACATCAGTTTTAAGAAAAGCTTGGATTAAAATAGCTACATAAATGTTACGTTTTGCTGAAATAAGGATGATCCAAGCTGAAGCAGCGCTCCGTTCTGTGTTCGATCATGAAACGAGCACATTAACTGACATGACAAATCATTTTAGTCGACACAGGGTGTGGTTTGCACACGTGCACACTCAAGCAGCGGTTCGTCGTTGCTTTTTCACGTCTTAAAGGAAAGAACAGAGATCAAACGGAAACGGCTCGATGCTGAGGAATTGAGCTCCATCCTTGGTGGGGTAAGGGCGGAGCCCTCGTGGGTTTTCCTGTGGCACCAAACCCCAAAATTATAAAATAAGAGTCGCACACTTTAGTTTAAATGAAACTGTGTAGAAATGAAGGAGAAGATCCACTTCTCCTTTCCTTGTAGCATTCATGGTGTAAAAATGTAGTTTCTATTTGCAAAAGTTGTTTTCCTGTCACATCTTCAGTTCACAATGGAGACGTTTGCTGAAAGAAGTGAGGTCATATGATGCAGGGGAGGGTGGGCGCTGCAGGCTTCCTGCTGCACCCACCCTCTTTCTTCATCATCTCAGCCAACATGAACGTTGTGCTAATAAAGTTGTGGTTTTAATTTATTCTCACGTAATAATTGCATTTTCACAAATGCAAAGAGAAACCATGAAGAAGTGCACCTCTCTAGTAGTTGCATATCACCCGCCGCCTTTCATGCTAGAGATTTTGACAAAGATCAACTTTGATGAGAACGAAGTTTCATCAGACGTTACCGAATCTCATTTGACCTGTTAGCAGTGGTGTGGCGAGGATCACTCTCAGCTACTACCACACCAGATTTGAGTTATGTTGGATAAGATCAATTAGTTGTGTAGATGTACATCCAAGTACAACTTTCAGAGAGGTTCACTAAAATCCATCCAGTGATTCTTGAGATGTTTTGCTAACAGACAAACCGTTGAGCCCAATAGTTAATGGTAACGTTTTACGAGTTGTTTCTAATACTTTGAATGTAATGTCATCAGTGCGTTGCATCATCTATTCTCTTGAAGACGCTGAGCGCCCAGGATGAAGTAACGTGCTTTTTATTTGGGATTTCTTCAGGAGAACACTTTGTGACAAGTCCAGGCTTTCTGCACTTTGGTTTAGCACCAGACACCTTTTGTCAGAAGTTTGGGTCCAGACAGAGCACCAGTGTTCAGTCTAAACCCCACAGAGACACACTTTCTGTTCCCGGACATCTCGTTGCAAATATTAATAGTAATCAAGATATTTGACATGTTGCATTTTTCTACTTTTAAATAAAGCACAAAAACTAAAGTATAATGTGAACTGCTGCATGCCGCCGTGGCGCTAGTGCTTTATACATGTACTAATAAAGTTTATTCTAATATAATTGACTGAGACGTGTCACAATGACATTTACATTTAATTTAAAAAAATTCATTTCAAACTATTGACCTAATAAGTACTAATTGTACTAATATTTGAACATGGGGAGTGTGGTGAAGAGGTGAAGAAGAGAGTCCAGGCAGGATGGAGTGATGGAGAAAAGTTTCAGGAGGGATTTGAGACCAAAGCGTGTCAGCAAAGGTCAAAGGTGAGACCAGCTCTGTTGTATGGTCTGGAGACAGAGACATGGACAAAAAGACAGGAGACAGAGACATGGACAAAAGGACTGGAGACAGAACTGGAAGTGGCAGAAATGAAGATGTTGAGGTTCTCCTTAGGAGAGACAAGGATGGAGAAGATCAGGAATGAGATCATCAGAGGTACAGCACAGGTTGAACACCTGGGAGATAAAGTTAGAGAGGACACACTGAGATGGTTTGGACATGTCCAGAGGAGGGACAGTGGTTTGGACATGTCCAGAGGAGGGACAGTGGTTTGGGACATGTCCAGAGGAGGGACAGTGGTTTGGACATGTCCAGAGGAGGGACAGTGGTTTGGACATGTCCAGAGGAGGGACAGTGGTTTGGGACATGTCCAGAGAAGGGACAGTGGTTTGGACATGTCCAGAGGAGGGACAGTGGTTTGGACATGTCCAGAGAAGGGACAGTGGTTTGGACATGTCCAGAGGAGG